CCTGGGGAGGGGCGTTGGAGTCCGGAGCAGGAGCTGGGGAGTGAGTGCTCCCCAGGGTGGTTGATGGTTTGGGGAAAGCAGGACTCTAGTTGCTCCCCCTCCCTGCTCTGAGGACACAGGTCCCTTCAAGGCTCCCGAGATTGGCCCCGTGCTTATCAGCTGCAGACCTGCTCGTCCAGGTGAACAGTCCCTGTGGCCGACTGAACAGTCACCTGCACCTCTGGCTGCACTGAGGCTGGTGGTGGACCCGGTTCCCTTCAGCTCCCCTCCCCCGGTGCTGTGTCTCCCCCTGCTGTCCACAGACTTAGAGACGAGCTCCCATGGGGCTCACCGGCTGCTGTCAGGGACCAGTAGTGTTCTGATCCTCCTGGAGTTGCTCCCAGATCTTAATTCTCCTGTCAGGCCCAAAGCAGCTGTATTTTGCAGACAAATTGGCGAGGTCCTTCTGTATCACGTGACTCTGGCCACTGTAATTCTTGGTGAAGAACAACCCAGACCAAGCAATACAGAGGAACAGGCCCTGGCTGTGCACTGTGCAGAGCTGAGGGGTGTTGGNCAATACAGAGGAACAGGCCCTGGCTGTGCACTGTGCAGAGCTGAGGGGTGGTTGCCCACAGCCAGGTTGGCTGCACTCGAGGGCAGGGTCCTTTCAGCCAGCCTCCCGCCTGGGCCAGCTGAGGCCCTGCCTCTGCAAACACCCCATTATCCCAGCATGGACCAACGCTGGCTTTTCTTGCCTAGCAGGGGCTGAGTGGCGGGTCCCCAGCCTGAGGCCTGGAGGAGGCAGCAGGGCAGCACCCATGGGAGGGCTCCCGGTTCTTCCTCTCCTTACCCGTTCCGCTCCTTCTTAGAAGTCGGATTTGTGTTCACGTTAGTCAGGTAGCTTTTGCTGGGTAACAAACTGCCCTAACTTAGTGGGTGTTACTTCTCAAGTTCAAGGGCCAGACTGATAGGTTTGGGGGCTAGGCCTGGGCCAGCTCCTTTGGGGCCGGTGGGCCCAGGTTTCCCTTGTGTGGGTCCCATCTCTGCCCATCCCTTCTGAGCCACAGCTTTGGGTCCATGTCTGTTCCTGTCCCCCTGCTCATAAGTGACTGAAGGGCCACACACCCCTGGGCTCCTTCTGGCTCTCAATAGGGAGTAGAGGTTCCTGGCAATTAGACCAGCTCCTGATGGACATTCTGCTGTGTACAGACGTCAGAGCTGAGGGGACAAACCTCCCTTCTCCACAGGCAAACCCAAGAGAGTGGCATCAAGGAGTCTGTTTCCTGGGGCACTCAGAGGACGCAAGAAGTGCCCTATGAGGCAAGGGCCCCCTTGGAGCGAGGCCACTCGACAGAAATCCCAGTGGTGCAGCCAGGAAAACCAGTGAGGAGGGCTCCCAGGGCTGGGGACAGGGTGGGACTGGGCAGGGTGCAGTGGGGGCAGGGCGCAGTGGGGGCGGGGTGTGACGGGAGGGAGGTGGTTGACGGGACAGAAGAGAAGGTGAGAGTAGGATACAGGGTGTGTGACTTGGGGCTGCTGCACCCCCAGGCTGTGGATGTCCAGATGCAGAGCATGGCCCTGAGGGGCCCTGACGGGGAGCCCCAGTCCGGGCTGGAGAGCCAGGGCCGAGCGGCCTCCATGCCCCGCCTGGCAGCAGAGACCCAGGTGGGTGGTCTGGGAGTTGGTCTGGTGGGCGGGTGGGGCACTGGGGTGAGGAGACGTGGCATGGAGGGACTGGTCCCGTGTGCAGGCTTTGTTGGGGTGGAGCCTCCCCAGCTGCACTGCAGCTTGGACATTGTCAGCCCAGTTGCATGCGATGCTAGTCTCCAGAGTTGCAAACAGGCCAGTCAGGAGTTCCCACCACCAGCTGTGGGGCTTGACAGCCCTGGTCCCTGACCCACCCTTTCTTCTCTCAGGGACACGCCTCTCCCACCCCAGCCCCGCCCTCCCCTAGAAAATGCACAGGTGCCTCCCACCTCCGTCCACCCTTTCCCCTCACTGTTCTTGAACTCTCAGAGGCTCTGGGAGTGTCCTGGCCTGGTCTTGCTCCGAACGCTGGAGGCAGTGCCCCCTCCTGGCCCTGCTCCTTTGGAACAGGTTTGGTGACAGCAGGAGGCCCTGGGCAGAGGCTGGGCTCTGTGTGTCCTGGGCTGAGCCCTTTTACAGGACAAAGGGAGGGGTCTGCAGACCTGAGGCCATGTCAGGGGCACTGCTGTCACTTGCCAGGCAGGTGAGGGGCTGGAGAAGGGCTGCCCAGCTGCGTGCAGTTCCCAATGTTGGCCCTCCCTGCATTTTCCTCCTGGCCCTGCCCCTCCTCCTTTTGTGGTTTCTGGCTCTAAACAGTTAATTTGGACTTTATTCTGGTAACTGTCACTCCCATCAGCAGTGGCTCTGCTCTCGCCAGTCCCTCACTTCCTCCCATCTCTGCTCACTGCCCCCCACCCCAGCCTGGGGGAGGTCACACAATGAGCAGCACCCTGTGCAGATGCTCTTGAAGAGAGTGGGTCCCGGGGAGGAGCTCTCCAGGGACAGAGAAGTGCCTAGCGGACCCCAGGGAGCCCCCCTACCCTGTCTGAGAGGTGCCCCGACTGTGGGACCCAGTTCTCCCTGAGGGGTGTGTTCTGCTGTGTGCCGGGCCCCCTGGAGCCTCCTCCAGGCCCCTCTGAAGCTGTGCATCTCCCCCTGTCGCCACAGGCGGCCTCAGAGGCCAGCCCCATGAAGCGCTCAGTCTCCACGCTGGCGCCCCAGCGCCCCCATGTGGCTCATCTCTGCAATGCCGCCCTGGACCGGGCTCCAGCCAGCCAGGCCGCCCCCCACCACCACCACCGCTGCCACCGCCGCCGGGACAGGAAACAGAAGTCCCTGGAGAAGGGGCCCAGCCTATCCGCAGATGCAGATGGTGGTGTGTATGGGGCACATCCAGTGGTGGTGCCTGAGCTGGGGTTCTGAGAGCCCGTGGGGGACCCTCAAATTCCTGCATCTCATGATCCCAGCCCTTCCCTTGGGACTCTCTGCTGGCCTGGGTACTGGATCTGGGGTGAGGGCATTTTCCTGCATCCTGGCTCATTTGGGGTGACTTCTCCTCTTCCTGGGCAGCCCCCAGCAGCACTGCAGGGCCAGGGCCGCCCCCAGGAGAGGGGCCCACAGGCGGCCGGCGGGAGCGCAGGCAGGAGAGGCAGGAGCGGGGTCGGTCCCAGGAGCGCAGGCAGCCCTCCTCCTCCTCCTCTGAGAAGCAGCGCTTCTACTCGTGTGACCGCTTTGGGGGCCGGGAGCCCCTGCAGCCCAGGCCCTCCCTCTGCAGCCATCCCACATCGCCAACCGCTGGGCAGGAGCCAGGACCCCCGAGACAGGTACACCGAGACGGCCTACTGCTTCTACCACGGCCCTCAAATTCCTGGGTGCCCCCTTCAGTCCCTGTTCCTGGGTCTAAGTCCCTGCCCCTCCTCTATCTGCCTCGACCCCTCCTGGCTTATCCACGGCTCTACCACTTTCTTATTTTCCTTCCGGCCCTGCTGGGCTGGCCTGTGGTCAATCTGCCTCTCGTCACCATCATCCAACGCCTAACCGCACCCTCTGCCTTCCTCCATCCGCCCTTCTGTGCCGGCCGCCCCCACCCCATGCCTCCTGCACCTGCTCTGTGACTGGACCTGTCCTTTGAGTTGCTCTGTTCTGGTTTCCTGTAGGGCAGCGGTTCCGTAAACGGGAGCCCCCTACTGTCCACATCTGGTGCTAGCACCCCTGGCCGCGGTGGGCGGAGGCAGCTTCCCCAGACTCCACTGACGCCCCGGCCCAGTGTCACCTACAAGACAGCCAACTCCTCGCCCGTGCACTTCGCCGGGGCCCAGAGCAGTCTCCCCACCTTCTCCCCGGGCCGGCTGAGCCGAGGCCTTTCAGAACACAATGCCCTGCTCCAGAGGGACCCCCTCAGTCAGCCGCTCGCCCCCAGCTCTCGGATTGGCTCTGACCCTTACCTGGGGCAGCGTCTGGACAGTGACGCCGCAGTGCGCACCCAACCAGAGGACATGCTCACCTTTGAGGAGGCCGTGGCCACCAACTCGGGCCGCTCCTCCCGGACTTCCTACGTGTCCTCCCTGACCTCCCAGTCCCACCCACTGCGCCGGGTGCCCAATGGCTACCACTGCACTCTGGGGCTCGGCTCAGGCGGCCGCGCTCGGCACAGCTACCACCACCCGGACCAAGACCACTGGTGCTAGGTGCCTGCGACCCCATTGCCACCACCCTGGGGCCCCAACCAGGTGATGAGTTTTATCATCCACTCTGGGCTCCTGGGACAGTCGTGGAAACCAAGGCAGCAGCAGCAGCAGCCCCTGGGAGGAGGGGCCTCGCTTCCTGGGCCAGCCAGGCCAAGGCCCTGCTGCTGCTTAGGCTCCTGTTTTCTGCTGGGTGGACTTAAAGCCCTTTTGTAGAGGCCCGTGGTTGTCCCCACACACGCTGTGCTGCCTTCCTGGGCCACATACCACAGGCCTCGCACAGGAAGTGGCTGTGTGCTGAGCAGGACCCTGCAAGCCCAATCCTGAGTGAAGGACCTCAGCCTCTGGGGTGCTGTGTGGAACCTGTCAGGAGATCTGATCTTGGGGAGCATCCTTCATCCCAGTGTGTGGTGCAGAACAGCTGGGAGAGCCTTCAGGACCCGTCCATGGGAAGCGGAGTGGCAGCCTCCAGAGCCCGGCCTGTGGCGCATGCAGGTCTCATCAGTGTCCACAAAACACACAGCGTTGCCCTTCAAATCGTAAACTGCAAGTGGACTCAATACTCTTAGACGCTCTCTCCTCTCCAGACACTGTCAGCCCTGAGAGGGACCAAGTCTGCAGCGTTCTGGCTGCTGCCTGGTTTTTAATCGCAACTCCTGTCACTCCTTCCTCAATTCTGTCTACCTGATCTCGGAAGGACAGAAACCAGATGAGCAGGGCAGGAAACACTAGCAGGACTTGACATTCACACCCGTGGGGAGATCTCCAACTCATGTGAGGAGACGCTCTTCTGTGGGGTCCAGGCGGTGCCCCCACAACCCCTGGCACCCGCTGCCCTCAACCAAGTGCCTGACCTCCGAGCCCTCTGGCCCAGGCTCTGGGGCTGTGACGCAAGGCTGTGGGAACCGCGCTGGGTTTGTGGACACTGTTCCAGGGGCAGCCGAGTAGAAAGCTGCCATCGGCGGTGTGACAAGAAGCCGGCTTTTCCCTTTTCCTGTCTCTCCCACAAGTGGAAGGTTTCCAGGGAAGCACAGGGAGCCGGGGCTGTGGGGCATTTCCAGTTCGGTCCACACTGATCCTCAGGGCGGGTGCCTGCCCACAGACCTGGGTTGGAAGTGTCTTTATGCAGGTGGGAGAGGTGACAGGAGGGCAGCCCCGTGAACCAAGTCGGAACCTGGAGGCCGTGACCTCTGGCAGGAGGCAGCCGTGGAGCCCAGCCCTGACCGACAGGCAGCAACAGCGAAATCCAGCTGCACGGCCGCTCTCTGAAGAGACCACAGTGGGTGTGCCTAAAACACTGAGACTCTTGTGAAGGAAAAGAGCGTTCGGACGTGCGGCTTCTGGTGTGTCTTCTGTGTTTTGAAATGTCGATGATCTTTGCTGGGTCATGTGTGTTCCCATTGGCTTTACCCCATGACTCTCCCTGAAGAAACTTGGTGTGTGATGTGTGTGTGTCTGTGTGGAGTTGTCACAGTGAGTGGATGCCGTTCACCCACAGGGCTATGCAACAAAAGACACACGTTTACTCGAAACAAAACACAAGACCGCCACCTGTCATAGGGTTTCAGCTCGATTGTGACCAAACCATTTTATAACGTTTCCTTCCTGGAAGGCACAACATGGGAACTTTCCACGAACAGAGTGTTTCACTCCAACACGACCCAACCAGCCGGAGCCTGCGTGTGATCGCGCGACTGGTCGCGAAGCCGAGGCCGTGTGTGGATTCTGGTGTTCGTCTCTGGGCCCCCTGCCCGTCGTGCTGAATGTGCCCACTCTGTGCGGAACCACAGCTGCTTCCCCGGCCACGCAACCTCGCTGATCTGTCGAGTCTTCCAGATGCTGGAACTGGTGGAAATTGCAGGGCCTGGGGGTGGACGGTGTGTCTTGTTTTCCTGACTTTGGGTTTTGTCTCTGCACTGTCTCTTCCCAGCCGTCACGTTCCCCTGAAACCTCAGTGAGTTGCCAAATTTGAGATGCATCAACCAGTTGTCTGCCCTGGAACCAGTCAAGCAGTGGCCGTGGTTTGAACACGTGGCGTGTGCATGTAAAATATATACATATATACAATATGCAAGCATATGCATGACAATGTATATCTTCGTACTTTTTGATACAATGTAATCATTTGTTAATTTTTAATTATATTTGATATAAATCAAAGGTTTGTTGCAAAACTTTATATTTAAGAACAGTGTTATAAAAAAACAAAAACAGAGAGAGAAGTCCCAACCACACAACAGGACTGGGACTCACTTTTAAAAAAATTCTGTGGTTGACTAGTTTGCTGCTTGAGTAATATTTATCAGCCAAACTTTGGATTCTGCTATTGTTTCTACATTGACATTTTGTATGAAGCAAAGTCCTTGGATTAAAATAAAACTTAGCAAAAAAAAAAAAAAAAAAATCAAAAA